TAGTTCATGTTCTGTGCTTCCGTAGAGTCTAATTTTGCAGGAAAAACGACTCGCTCGAGTAAGATAATATTTCCATTGAAGCTGTCTAGTTCCAAAGGCAGGCCCAATACCGCAAGTGTACATCACACTGTGGTTGCATGGTTTCTAGGAGGTCAGGGGATGTTGTCGTCTACTCAATTTACGATATATGCAAACGCAAGTTCTTGTCCTTCAACCCCTACAATGCTTATTCTGTTCGGGCCTAGGAGGAACCAAAACACCAAATCGATCGTTCAAAATACGAGATATATTTCGGGGTGAAAATCGTAGCACTGTGATGATTACTTATGTAGCTAGGGTCGTGCACGAACTGAGCAACAAGGTGCAGTTATCAGGACTGACTAAACACTTTATGGAAGGATGGGTGCGACGCTGTAAACTAGGGACTACGAGGAGAATCGATATCGACCGAACTTTTGGAGTCAGTCTATTGTTGTTTATACGATAATAGCAACAGGTTTCTTTCTATCCGGTAGAGTTTATCGACCTCTGAGATACGAGATGAGAAACCAAAAACAGTTTACAATTATAATAATTTATATTTTATAAAAATTATTTCGTATAAACGGATAAGTTTACAAGAAATACATGCCATTTCTACAGGCACGATTGAGTGATCCACATAATCCTGAATCTGGTGGTTTCTCAAGTCATTATACTGGTGACTTCAGTGCAATGTAACTAAAAGTGAAGAAAAATATCCGTGAAAACGTTGTAGATTCAGACTTTTTGAATTCCAACAGGGCCGCCGATTTCTATAAAACTATTAAGTGCAACTAATACCAGTGCGCAGAGAAAACCATCCAGGATAGGCCATTTCTTTACAAGCCATTACTTAATCACAGAGAATTTACAGTTGGAGAGACCGGTAGTCATCAGAGATGTCTCAGTAGTGGTATTTGACCCCGTCATTCGGTATGAGCTAGTCAAAGGCAACTCTGACCTTCGATGCTGCAGTGGCGAAGTCATCTTTGCATAGATGACAAATTATCTCTTATTGGTTCTTTGGCTCAACGATATTGCTTTCCGTCAGTGGATGAGATTTAGTGGTCGATGAAGGATTTCATGAGATAACCAATTATTACTCCCATCGCTTTTATGAGGACAACACAGAAACGAACTCGAGTGCTGGAAAGATGAACAGAGAATCTCCTGAAGGTGTTAGAACTCAGTCGAAATGGAGATGCTAGAGTAAGAAATCAGACAAATCTCATATTAAACAGGGTCAAGTACACCTAACCGGAAAACCTTAAATTAGCTCGAAGGGGCTTTGCTGAATGATGGCGTGCAAGGGATGTGTCATTCGGAGACAGTGTGTTATTGGAAGTCGTAGGGTAACTGGACCTTTCAGGGATTCGTCTGCATACCTCCTGCACAGTCTGAAATATCAGACTACAAATAAATCCGAGTGTGAATTTACAGAAGGCCAGAAGAACAAGTCAGTTGAAATCCTCTGGGTGTGATGACGTGAGGCAGCTAATTATCAAACAGTGATCTGAAGTTCCATTTTTCCCTTGCCAACAAGTTGTCTCAGTACACACCGAACAAGCCGGAGTTACCGACGGAGAGGAAGAGCCGTCTCCCGCCTCACACTTTCACAGAAGCGATTAACAAATTCCTCACTGCCTTATACGAAGACCGTTGCTAGAAATTATGTCAAAGGTGATGGAAGGTCTGTTGACAGCTTACATTAGGACACATCGGAATAAGAAAAAGTACTGAGAGAAGCTGGGCGCGGCCGAAGAAAAAATAGTTCTGCCCCACCAACTTGATGGAGCTCCAGAACAACTCGTTAGGATATTGGAACCGGAATATTCCAGTTTGTGTTGTTTCCAGACCATGCTGTGAACACCCTATATCACAAAAGTTGTCCCCTGGAAAGTTTTGGAGATGACGACATCCTAGGAAAGAGCCCATCAAGAAGGCAAAGAATTCTGTGTGGATATGAATAGGATTCACTGTACATATAAAACACCATTTCCTGGAGTGTCGTAACCACCTGTTTCTGGTCTACTGTTATTCTTGTTTTCTATAATCCACGAGTCGATCTAAGCTTTCTGATACCCTTTCACTGATATAAGTATAAAACTTTCACACCGATGGATGCGAAGCTGAGGCGTGTTGTGAAAAATTTGGAAAATCCTCTCGGATCTCAGGGAGAAGTGGATTGAACACAGACGCCAACTACACCGGCGACACAGACAAGGTAATTACATCCGTCTTGTTCGTGAACAGGCACCTAGGTGAGCGTGCGTCTGAGCTGTCTACTCAATTGTTCAAAACAGGTACACAACCAAAGTAAGAAGTTCTTGCACTGAAATTCTGAAGTCAGACGACAATAATTTATACAACGTCTTAGGGAGAGGAAAAAAGCTATCCTTGATTCTTTAGATGCCTCATATTAGACTCATAATCTGCTTATTTGACTAAATAACCTGACAGTTCTTACCTCCAAAAACTGAGGAATTACCCTTCATTGGAGATTTAGAAGCTGGGTGCCTGGACGTTAGAAGAGTGAAATAGTATTAGCACAAGGTAGGCTAAAATGGGCGATTGTGTGGCATACCCCTTTTTCGGAGTGGTGACAACTGACTCATGATGTGTGTACTATTGAATTTCAAAATTAGGCTAAATAAACTAGCATGTATTCTTATCATCAATAGCCAGAAGCTACCGGATATTCAGCGAAAAGGAATCTATGAGTTTATGCGATGTCATCAAAGCGATATCAAATTTTCGATGGTAGGCCAAATATGCTTCTTTCACATTAGTTGCACACACTACCGGCTGTTTAACGGCAGCCTGTCGACGGCCGTAATTTCGCGTAATACATGTAGGCTACATGTTTTTAGTTGACATAAACTGGGTCTCCACTCACATTCAGAATTAATCGTGAGTTCATTTGGAATAAGCTAGTTGACCACATAAGTATTGCGAGAATACAGTGAAAGTAAGTAAACACCTGCTTCATAAGATTAAGTGATATATTTAATTGATATGATTGTATTATTAGTAGTTGTCTATCTAAGTTAATGATGAATTCGTTGCGATAATAATACCTATTATTGTTTTTACAGTCACTGTGAACGTGAACGTTATTATTATTGCTGTCAAGACTCTTATTATTTGTCATTTTTATTAAAATCTTTGTACAAGCTTTGGAAACTACTGCATGACTTGACGTTAAATAATTTTATCATTTCATGATGCTTCGATGGACCTACTAGATATCGACCAACGATAAATTGCGAAGTCCCTTAAGTTTAGTTAAAACTGTTTAGCTACTTATATATTGTTCGTAAAGTGATTACTTGTAAATGCTTATCAAGGAAAATTTTTATTCAGATCATACATGTACTACCCAAGTTAATAGAGCTTTTCTTAAACCTTTTCAGGCTTATGGAGAAACATATATGTGCTGTGTACGCAGATGGAACCTACTGACAGTAACGGAGGACTACTAATCTGAATTATCTGTACATCTGAAATCTAATTTTTGTTTAATAAACAATTTTTCAATGAACCTGTGTTCCTTCTGTTGTCACACGATTGTGTTCCAGTAACATAAGTAACACGTGCTAAGTTAGAAATTAAGGGTTAACTGTTAGGAGTAAATGCGGCGTCTAGGAAACTTTTGTTAATGCGATTAGATTAACAAATAGCAACGTACCGTGTTCTGTGGCTGCGAACTGTACGCATTCTGTTTTTAATCATTACGACAACCGTAGTTGACTGATTATAAATCTAAAGTATAGGTACAGTCTATCCTCATGGTACACTGCGACCCGTAGAAATCACAAGCACACTATCTCAGGCAGATTTATTTTCACTTTGTGATTATGAATCGAGAATCAGTTTATGTGTTCCGCTAAGACGATGGATAACTCGAAACGCTTTATAATCCCAATACCTCCTCTGAGATTTGGACATATTTACTTTATTTAACTACAACATAATCTTTTTACCAGTAAGCTTCTCCGAATATCTGATCTTACTTAGTATTCAAAGATAGCTTCATATACTCTGTACCTTACAACTTACGCAGGGGCTAATAATCGGTCTTACCAAGTAGAATATACAAACGAATAACGAGGAATAGATTTATTAATGAATTAACATGTAATGCAAAATCAGTGACACTGTGGAAATCTTATTTAGCACCCAACTCCATGAAATGCCCGAAAGCAGCTATCACCTGAAAAAGAAATAAGCAATCAGAAGATGTAAACACTGTTACCATTATAAGTACGAAATTTAAGTGATAGAAAATACTAGATAATGCGTTAAATTGTGTGTACTTACGTCATTCAATATTTTTCAAGCAGACAAAATGTACATTGCGTCTTCCTGTTAAAACCAAATCTATGCAGTATAAGAAGTAAATAACATGTGAAAATAATTCACAAGTATTTTTGTAGATTTTCTTTCAATAGGTACGCGTGGAGGATCCTTCACAACCACCACCTAAGGTACACAACAAAGTAAGTGAAAATGACTAACAAAACGAACTAGCCTTCCTCATCTAATCCTATGAATTGCAAAAAATGTGACTTAAAGTCGTTATAACATGTGTCTTCAGGTAATTCGACATTTTCTGAACGGAAAAGTACGTATTTCAACAATCTGTTAACTGGCCATAAATTACGGCGGGATAAGGACACCATCATTTGCTGTTTATGCTGAAAACGCTATGTTCCATAGACTTTAAGCTGCAATACAAGTATAAAAGTGTGTAAAACAACGGAAACTCACCTAATTTTGAGTTTTTTCAATAAATAATGCCTGTAGCCATCAGCTGATCAAATGACCTACGGCAGTATACAGGCTGCTCTCTTTAATGTAAACGAAGTCATTGCTAGAGTTGTGAATCTTTCCTGTTTAAATAGGGAGGCACTCAGATGAACCCTTAGATATAGAGTAATGCTGTGAACTTTTGTTTTCCTGCACACATTACGTTAAACATAAGCTCTATTTTCAAACAGTTCGGTACGAATTTGCGTGCTTTCCGTATGTTCTCATTTGACTGAGATGCTACTGATTTTCTAGCCAAAAACTGTTAACACCATATAGAATTTTAGAAAAAGATTTCAAGTGGGTACACATTGTATCCAGCCTACACTTACTTCGGACGCACTGCGGAGAATGTGTACGTTATTTATTCACGTACACTGGCAAATTAACTGTTCTTTCGTTCCTGGCCTTTATGTATCTAAATTGGAATAGTAGGAGGATTTTTAAATAAGACTTATTCCAGGTTGTTGGGATCTGGCACATGTAAATCATATTGTCCTGGCATATAATTATTTAGAATCCCTGGTGTGTGATGTGGTAGAGGAAATCCCCTTTGGAACGTACAAATGTAGCCATCCGTTCATGACCTCTGTCATACAACGCCCGGTGACTGAATTAAGCAGTTTATTCTCACAAAATGAAAGTTTCAGAAGCAAAGGAGGTATGTCCTAAAATTCTGGACTGCAAGCAATATCTCATTTCATACCACAAATCTGTGGCATGAATATGAAGAACCTCCAGATCTCATATGAAACACGAGTTACTCAGATTACATCGATTGTATGATTATTGCCACTTTTTCGCCTGTAGTGTAAGGTGTATCATGACCTCCTTTTACTCATCTTTTCATTTTCATGTTAGAGAATTAACAGATATATCTATGACTTCGAGGAGCTTAACTTTTGATATATACTATATCTCGGAGTACTGTCTAGTACATCCTAGTTTGGTTTCTCGAACAGATACGCGCGTATTTGTCATGTAGAAAAAGACGTCATATGCGTAATTCCTTTAGTAGGTGTATTTATGAGCAGTCGAAAGTTGTCCATATTTGTCAGCAGGGGTGAAGTATGCATAATGCTGTCTGCCATACAGATGTTATGGTTATGGTCTTTCAAACAGCCCTGGAACACGGTAAAGCACTGTAAAGAACAGTTGAGTTGAATTATAGGTTAATACTTGTGCACAATAAGGCGTAATGCCTCATGTTCTATTAACGGCATTCCATTTGACGAAGTGGGTTTAAGTGACACTCAAGTTTGTAAGTGCCCGAAAACATCGAACAGACAATGTACTAATAATCCTTTTCAAGTTTAGTTATCATGTATTTTTATTACTATTTTCATTGAAAATATCGAGCAATCAAAATGCGTTTTCATTTGAAAAGCATTCTAATACATAAGTAGTATATGGTGGTCGTTTTAGGGCTCACCTATAATAGTTTTGTCTAATTGGTCTGTCACTCAAGGAATAAGTGATTGTTCTCCACTTTTGTTCATTGGGTTTGCGAAGGACATTGGTGTTTGTTAATGTGAATGAAACTATTATTTCGACACCGTTGAAATCAGTCTTGTATCCACTTCCCATTGCATGTATTGTATAACACACGAAACGGATATCGCATGATTAGTAGCAGCGTTTGAATAATAGATGCTCTTATTTTAAAAGACTGATTACTGAGTAAAGAATTATTCCTTTTAATAACCTGCTTTTCATCGCTTTCTTCAGCTCACTACAATTATGGTGTCGTCTGCAGTAAATTTTAGAGGCACCTAAATAAGCCTAGTTCGTATGGAAATCGTAGTAGAGCGTAGTGACCAGTTGACTTATTTGGGAAGTTACATCAGCCCAACCAACGCCAGCGGCTTGATCTGTAGGCTGACGAAATGTCAGCCGGATACGGATACACAAGGCCCGTTTGGCACTTTTCAGCCAACTCATACCATCTCTGGCGAGCTTAGTGGACGTCATATCCAGCTGGCTGGCTAGCTGTGGACCAGAGGGCATGTGTACTGCTCAGCAGTTCGCTGTCCTCCTTTATAGCTTGCTGTGAGACATGGTCATCAAAAGTGGAAGAAATGAAAAGCCGGGCTAGCTAGCTGTGTTTGATCATAAGAGTCTGCGTTTTATCTCCCGTGCTAGTTGGTGGGTGTAATAGGGTTAGCTATATCGAAGTGAGGTATCGGTCGAGTACTAGGTAAGAAAGAGGGTAAATCAATCAACGAGTTTGTGAAGTGACACCGATTGAGATGGTTAGGACAAGTGTTAGGCGCACGCATGAATAGCCATCGCCTTCCTCGACTACGGGCGATGTTAGTCACTGACATATGATGGATGAGGTTGGAAAAGAGTTAGCTAGTGGTGGTGGCAGTGGCAGTCAAACCAAAACATGGCTTCATCAGTCAATGAAATCCAAAACAGTTAGTTTAAGCCAGTCAACCAGCCAGTAACGTATGGAGGTGTAGACTGACTGACTGCCTCGTTGGGGTCCTCAGGATTGGTGAGAACAATGAAGGCTGGAGACAATCGGTGATATGGCTGGCTCAAAATCGTTCTCGGTGATGGCTGACGCAGATGCATTCACACTTACTTTGTGATTTATCAAGTCCAATAAAACTCTATTGCTCTTCCATATTACTATTCTTTTTGCCTCACTCACACTTCTGTTTATTATCTCTCTCCCTCTGTTTTGAATCATTCTTTATTCTCTTCTCTTGGTTTGTGTGGTAAATGGAGGGAGTTTGGTAACTGTAAGTGGTGCACATCTGTGCAGATTTCTACGTTGAGACCACTCAGTCAGTCGTATAGGAGTCGGAAACGGTTGGTGTTCACAATAGTTCCTCACTGAAAGTGAACTTTGTTCATCTGACTGTCGGATATTTGTAACGTTTTCCTGCTATCTACTTTTTCTTATAGGTACTTAAGAACTCGTAGTCCTAACACGGCATATCATTTGTCTAGTGGTCGGGTCAGTGGCAAAACAAATGATGGTAATTTGACAACGCTTCACTTGTGCTTATTGCTTTCAATAGATACATCAAACAGATTCTGAAGATATTGTTGAAGAGAGAGTAATCAATGAAGAGTATAAGATATGGAAAAGAAATACACCTTTCTTATACGATATGCTTATGTCACATTGTCTAGAATGGCCAAGTCTAACTGCTCAATGGTTACCATCTGTAGAAAAGTAGGTAGTTTTTTCTCTTTTCCTTCATAAATACATTTGTTTTAAAGGACTGGAAGAGATTATTCTGTTCACCGTTTAATACTCGGGACTCACACGTCAGATGAACAAAATCACCTACTGATTGTTACAGTTCATCTACCAAATGATCAAGCAGAATTCGATGCGAGTGCGTATGATAGTCAACGGGGTGATTTTGGTGGATTTTATTTTCCATCTGGCAAGTTGGAAATATCAATGAAAATAAATCATGAAGGGGAGGTTAATCGTGCTCGGTTTATGCCACAAAATTCAGATATAATAGCTACTAAAACACCAAGTGGAGATGTTTTAATATTTAATTATCCAACACACCCTCCGAAATCATCATTGGACCGAGGTTGTCAACCAGATTTACGTCTTAAGGTAAGATAAGATACAGTTGTACCTTTTTTGTGTGAATGTTAGGTGTTAATTGTTGTTTTCACTACTAGTTTCCACAAAACATGTCAAATGTTTATAACATGACATATAAGCGAACAGTATTATTGTTTTCAATTAAGATCTTCAGGCTTTACTCTAGCTTATATATATATATATATATATATATATATATATAGGAAATGTAACCAGTGACGGTGAGTTTGTGGATGAAATAATAATAATAATAAGTGTTATCTATCGCATTCTATCGAACCTTTCGAACGGAACTCGAATCCGTCTTTTAAACACAGCTGAAGTTATGGGAATTAATTCGAGGGAACAATCCTAGTCTTTGCATACAACAAAATAAGTTTGTTCCACCGTTCCACTCGGAACCCAAGGGAATAATAGTAAATGTCTGGATGGAAATTATTCATGAATTGTTTTAAATTCTCTACGAGAAACTGAACACTTGTAATATCCCTTATTACCTAGAGGTAAGTGATATTTTCTAGTGTGTATTATGCAACATTAATTGTTACGTGTTGTCCCGCAACTTCATTATCTTATAGTCTTTTCAAAATTTTAGGGTCATCAAAAAGAAGGTTATGGATTGTCTTGGAATGTATCACTAAATGGTCATCTTCTTTCAGCCTCTGATGATCAGACAATATGTTTATGGGATATTAATGCAACACCACTAGATGGTTGTAACCTGAATGCTATGGCTATCTTTACAGGACATCATTCAGTTGTAGAAGATGTTTCATGGCATCTTTTTCATGGACATATTTTCGGCTCGGTAGCTGATGATAATAAACTTATGATTTGGGATACACGTAGTTCAAATCGTAATAAACCACAACATCAAGTTGATGCGCATACAGCTGAAGTTAACTGTCTGGCTTTCAATCCATTTTCTGAGTTTATTATTGCAACAGGCAGTGCAGACAAGGTAGGTAGCTGACTTCTACAACACAAAATTTTATTTGGTAAAGTGCAATGATAAAGTATATATATATATATATATTCCAGAAACTTCATACATTTATTACCCTTTTTTGAATGTGAATAAAGCAAGAACAACAGTTTTTGCAGAATAATATGGTACTACCATTGCTATTTCGTTGGCTTCCCATCAACTGCTTACAGCTTGCAAGTTTTAAATGATGTCAGTTTACAGGAGGTTCCGGACTTAGCGAACAGTGCTCAGAAAATTACGCTTATATAGTTTTTATACAGAGAGTTCATGTTTAATCAAAATCAGTGTGTGCATACAATGGTAAAGGAGTCACGTAATGAAGACGAGAGGTGCATAAGATGATGACTAACTAATAAATTGGGTGACAATGTACTCAGTTCAACTCAAATCATAGAAACAGTAGACAAGCAAAATTACACTATATCAAAGGGGGTGGGGGTGAGGTTGAAGCCAAAGATAACGTAATCAAATAAAAGACAGAGACAGTGAAGACATCCAGTTATCAAGCAGAAGGGCCAGGAAATACTGGTGATAACTACTCCTTTCTGAACATACAAATCGGGTTTCAGGCATTTGATAGAGATTGCTTCGGCAAACTTGAGGAGAACTGAGCTTTTTCGTCTATTGATAATTTTAAAGGATTTCGAAATTTCCACTTCATGATCTGTATCAAGGAGATGCCTGGTAATGGCACTATTGTAAACTTTTTTTCCCATAAGACGTAGGCTTTTTGGTACATGTTCAGAAAATTGGAGGTGTGCCCTTCCTCTTTCTGTTCTCCCAATGTAACTGCTCCCTTAGATATCCGTAAATTTGCATACACAGTTGGAGTTATTAACATGAGAAGGGTATCTATCGACTTTTGACTGCACCAAGAGCATGTTGTCCGATAGACGGGAACCAACTTAGCTAGTTGCAAGATAGGCTCTGGCCGGTGACGTCCTCAATCTTCTGTTGACAATTGCTATAATATTTTCACCTTTAAAATCAAGTTGAATGAAGATGGGCTTTTTCCCACTGTGATTTGTTTGACATTTGAGCGTTCAGATCTCCCGTACTTGTTAATGAACCTTTGAGGGTATAAAGCTAGCCGTTGACGAATGGGTCCCAACTTCTCTGCAAGCCAGCGAGCAACCTTATGCTGAGGCGAGTTGATCATTGAAAGTATAGGTCTCTGGGGGACTTGTTCTTTGCGTTTTTTTGGAAGAGCATACATGTGCGGCAAATGGGACTCTCAGGATTTTAAACCATTGTACGTGTTGTTGTCAATCAATTTCTCCCTTAGATGATCTCTCAGTACGTTTGTGTTGCGTTTTTCAGTTGCATCTGTCCTATCTTCTTGGCAGTCGTCAACTTTAAAGCTCAACGGGTCATTTAACACAGTTTCCATCTTTGCTATGTAGTCATTTTTGTCTACCAGCACCACCCTTGAGCCTTTGTCAGGTCGCAATATGACGATTTTGTCATTATTTTTAAGAGCTTTCAATGCTCTTTGATGCTCCTCAGGAAGGATTTGGGAATATAACGGTGAAGTGAGGTGTTGATTTGCAACGTCAACCAGCATAGATTTGAACCAGCTCTTCTTGTCCTCATCAATTGGAATAAAGTCATTCAGCTGATAGAATAAGTTTTCAAACCGACCTGCGACATCGATTCTTTTGATAAAGTTATTTGGGATCTGAAGTTTTCAAAAGTTAGTCTGTAGGGATTTGATTGGTTCCACGTTTGATCATGGATTGATGTCACAGTTAGAGAACCATTGAAAAATCAGTCAGGGAGCGTTGAACAGGGTTGTTGTTTCTTCCTAGTACTTGGGACCCTTTAGCACTACGCACCCACCGGGAGGTCGAACCCAAAACCTTCCGGTTCCAAAGTGAGCTCATAGACCATTCAGCAGCTCACTGGGACCGGATTCAATGGCCCATGAATTCTAACTTCTACCAATTTGTGATTTCCGTGTGGTCATTAGCCAATGTCATCGCTGGTGAGTATTTGTCCTCACACCCGACCGAACGAACCCCACTAGTCACGACTTCTTAATAGAACTCATTCCAGGCAATTTCACTTTATAGCCAGTCACTAGGAGCATCAGATTAATTTTCAAGAGTTACTTTGTAACCGGAGGGTTCTGCATTAGAACCTCAGTGATGAGTCCCAAACTAGGACGAAACAGCATTTGTCCAATACACCTTGGTTTCTAATGGTTCTCCAACTGATATCAATCCGTGGTCAGACTTGAAAAACAAATAAAATCCCTAAAATGAACTCTCAATTTATTTCTTATCATCATACTACCACTCTTATATCCAGAGTAACTAATTATTTGTAATTTTTTCATAGATATTAGGTAGACCAAGCAAAAAATCAGTATTGAGTTATTTTAAAAAGTTTCACAGGGAACTGACTGGCTTACTGATTGAGTTTTAACGTCAAACTTTGTACAAAAGTGCAACACTTCAAGTTGCCACATTCCGTGTTATAGCATACATAGGAGAATATATATATATATATACTTAAGTATCTCTCATATGAACTACCGTTGTATGATAAGATAGAATAGTTAAATAAGTTCCGAATTTAAATCTTACGAAAAAACTTATAGAATTCCCATTTTCAAAACAGTCACAGTAGGTATAACGGTAGAAGACGAAAGACTTGGTATCTCTATATAGAGCGAAATTATGTACACCTTATCTTCAACCTTATCTTGTGCGCCACCTCTGACCTTCATATTGTGTTTTTCTGTGTTCCTGTTACGTCTTCCATGTATTTCCGCAACGCGCTGTATCATTTGCTTTCTCTGACATCAAATCTATCTCCTTGCTATTTGATGTTTTTTATGCCGATGGACATCTCTGTATATACTACTACTGATAAGATTTATCAGTAGCACACTCCACACTACCATAACTACTAGTTCAGTGTCCTGCTTGTGTGTCATACTCAACTGTTCTGCTGACTTTAGATAAGGTTGAAGAAACATTATGTCGCCTAACTAAACACATCAATCGACACATTTATTTACTGATAAATCTCATCAGTAACACCATATTAGTTTGTTTATTAGATGTATCACACAGTGAAACAGTATTATTTACTGGGTGACGTTTCGAACAAAATTTATTGTTCATAATCATATCAATTATAATCACACGACTTTGAAACTTGAGTTTTATAGTAACACATGGCACATAGGGATCACACTGTTGCTAATGGTGTAACTTTGTAGTTTAGGTGTTGTAAATTATAAAAAAACGTACACGTAGCATAGACTTGATATATCAGACTGACTAACGATCAAAGAACGTGTGTTACTGCTCATCATCTCGCTCCGTTCTCCTTTATAGCTGGCTGGCTGTGAGACATGGTCATTGAAAAGCCTAGCTGTTTTGGTCATAAGTGTCTGCATTCTATCTACCTCCCGTTTTAGGTAGGTGGTGTAACATGAGTAATATTGAGATTAGCCAACGGTCGAGCGCTAGGTGAGGAGGAGGGGAAATCAACCAATGAGTTTGTGAAGTGACACCGATTGAGATGGTTAGGACAGGTGTTAGGCGAACGCATGAATAGCCATCGCCTTCCTCGACTACGGGCGATGTTAGTCACTGACAGGATGGATGAGGTTGGAAAAGAGTTAGCTAGTGGTGGTGGCAGTGGCAGTCAAACCAAAACATGGCTTCATCAGTCAATGAAATCCAAAACAGTTCGTTTAAGCCAGTCAACCAGCCAGTAACGTAGGGAGGTGTAGACTGACTGACTGACTACCTCGTTGGGGTCCTGTCCTAACTATCTCAATCGGTGTCACTTCACAACTATATACAGTGCCTTCTCTCCTCACATAAAAGTTGACGCGTAACCTGAATAATACTCACCCTATTATGCTACCTGACATTAAAGATAGAACGCAGACATCTATGTTCAACCACAGTCAGCCGGCGTTTTCATATTCTTCACTCTGAATGGCCATGTCACACAGCCAGCCATAAAGAATGACAGACCGAACTGCTGAGCAGTACACACGCCCTCTGGTTGACAGCCAACCAGACGGATATCACGTAAGTAAGTTAGCAAATGCCACACAAGCCGTTTTTGTTCGTTTTCAACTCGCTCTATCAACCGCTTGATTCCTGCCTATCATTAAGTTACGAGTCCAGTCCATTCCAGTAGCCTCATCATCTTACATTTGACATGAGGAGTGAATCGCTCCGATGCCAGACATTCGAAGATTGTTGATCAGCTGAAGGTGGTCAGAAGATTCTGCTCTATTTTGTCATCATAATAATAATATATATTTCGTATAAACGGGTAAGTTTACATGATGTTCACCTAGAATGACTATATCATCATCTACGTATTCTGAGTCAACGAATTTATTATTCCGTGATGGTAACAAGTCGATCCCTGAGTTGCTGAAGTCAGTTAAGGTTAAGTCCATTAGCACATACATCTATGATGAAATTAAACAGAAATGGAGATAGTTTGGATCCCTGACAGATACCATTTGATAACTTGCTTCGTTTAGTTCTACTCCCTGCTGCTGGAGTGTGAGAGGAAGGTTAATGACTGAATCTTTGTTCATCAAATCAGCACCAAAATCGAGCGATTGAATTAACGCAACTGTTATACCTGATATGTGATAAAACTGCAATGATAACATCAAGGGCTAGGACTACTTTTTGCTGACATGCAAACTTGGTATATTATGGTCACCAAGAGATGCGTCACACAAAATCTTATATTTTGTGCGAGAGCTCTGCGATGCTGTCCAGACGCCCAGATCGGAGCAGGTGGTTGTCTTAAGGCGTCACTCTCCGAGCCCTTTGACTTAAAGTCCGATCCACAAGGTAGTGGAGCTGCGTTCCTGTGGTTGCCGGTCACCGAAACCAGGTGCATATGCCATTCAATCCTTTGGGATTTTAGAACCTATTTACACCGGCTCCCGTAGGTTGACCTCCATTTTCCACCATTCTAGTTGTAAGCGCCAGACATTCTCACTTAATTAATGACTTTTGTGAGGAAGGCGGTGAATCGGACTTACCTCGTAGAAGCTATGAACGCGTGGTCACATGAGAGGAAGACTGGAATCTGTTGACTCTCAGGCATAGCGCATCGTTTATGGGGGATAAGTTATGAAGTCGTGTGAATACACTGCTGTGCAATAAATTGTGTTCATAACGTCATCCAGTTATTAAAACTGCGTGTTACATCACTGTGTGTTACATCAGATAAATTCATTTAATATGGAACTATAATAGGTGTTGTTAATAGTCTGAACTTACTTGGTACTTGTCACTCGAACAGATTTATACTCTTTATATGTTACTTTCAGACGGTCGCTCTTTGGGATCTACGCAATCTGCGATTGAAACTGCATTCTTTTGAATCTCATCGAGATGAAATATTTCAGGTTAGTGATAGTAATCATTACTTATCTTCTTGCTAATCCATTGAGACTATCTGTTTAAATAGGCCTGTTTTTAACTATTTGTTTTTATTTTAATTATTACTGAACAAAGAACATTCTTTTCGATAACCTGCTCTTCATCATCAGGTTCTACAGTTATATATGAATGCATAATAATGAAAGAATGCTTGTTATTGACAACATTAGTGTTTGTTTTTAAAGAGCAACATCAAATCGTTTAGATCAGAATTCCAAACGGTATTTGCAAATAGCTTGTTAATAGGTAATAGTCTAAAATATATGTGTATGTGGTAATACGTATAACTGTAACACTTAATTCATCCCCAATATTACAAAGTAAATGATTATAAATGACAATGACTACATAGATAATGGATTCTCATGAATCGTGTTCATATTCGATTCTATTCATATTGATTCTAAGCTTCAAATGGATGAATGATCATGTCAAGCACGTGGGAAAGGGAAAAAATTCGGGGTAGAAGGTTGTGTGCTTTGTGTGTGTACATGTGTTTCGGTGTGTATGTTCACACCTACGTCTAAATAAGAAAGGAAAGGTTAGTTAACTCAAATGTGATAATGAAGGTTAGGGGAATTTATATGTACAGGATGGACGGCCATATCAAACAGGCCGATGTAATAAGGTATTTATGCATTTGCAGACTCCACAGCAGGCCAGGGCAGTGATAGTGATTTGTTGGACCTGTTTCTTCTGTACACAGAACACTGATTGTTTTACGCGAATCACAATAGTCTCTGCTGTCTGGAGTGAGTGTTGGGTACCTGGATTCTTTTGGCAATCTATTTGGTGCCCGGTCGGTGATAGAGAAGGACTCTTCAGTGCTGGCTTTGTGGTCGGTGTCTTTGGACCAAGTGGTCTAATATCGAACTGATGATGGTTTTGAATACACCTTTATTTACCCACAATATAGGTAGGTGTTCCCCATCGAGCAGGAAAAGTGAAGATCCTAGAGCAACGGCTAATATAAGTCGCTCTAACACAAGCGCAGTTGAATTGGTAGATGCAGTTAGAATTGGCTGGTCTAGGTACTCCATCTTTCAACTGAGGAATCACCGTTGGTTGTGTAAAAAATAAGACTTGTAGTTTACCAGCATTAAAAGTTCTTTGAACTGATTTTCTTAACTTGTTAGTAATTATTTCACTAGATGCATCACCCTTGAATAGCAGTCGTGTGTATAGAGGCTTCTTATTTACAGATGGAGAATAGTCCTTTTCTGCATTCTTGGTCATGTGTTTCATGATGAACTTTTCCAGATAGCTATTTTCGATTAATATATGTGTAAAACGGTTTGCGAGGAAAATGATTACCACAAAATACATACAAAAAAATGGGGAACACTGAATGCAAGTTCAAGATAGGGCTGACAGATATCAAGTGTAGTGATAAAATAAGGTGGTTAAATTGTGAACTGTAATCAAATACTAGAAACATAATAAAGTTTAGTGTAAATTACAAAAGGTTGACACATAATTAAGGTAATGGAGTAAAGTAAACTAGGCGGAAAGGAATAAGGAAGACATTATATGGCATAAAATTATGGATGATTTTGTCTCTGCTGTCCTTATAGCAGGCCAGGATAAAGAAAGAGGATGAATGTGCTTCTTTTGCACTACAGGCCCGGTTTTTTCTTATTAATCTCTATGGCTTCTGCTATAGCTAAGAGACGTAATTGTGTTCCTTTAAGCAGATTGTTTGGTACTGGATATACAACCGTAAATGACTCATCTATTTCGATGTAGTGTTCACTATCTACTAGATGAGACAAAATGGCACCACTTATTGATTTAGTTACACTTTTTGCAAGCCAAACAGGAACATGTTCACCAGCGCGTGAAGATAAATTCCTCTAAGTTCGACCTATATAACTAGCTCCTCACGAGCAGTTGAACTTGTATACACACATTGATGTGGGCATCTTTGGTAATTTATATTCGGTGCACTGTATCAGTAACGGTCTGGTTGAGAAATTGATGTGTAATTTTGTAGGAATGAAAGTTATTCCCACTGATCTGATCAACCTACGGCTTAATGTTTCACCTCATATGCATCACCTTTGAACTGTACTCTCAAATAAGGCTTTTTCTTATTCACCGTATCACACTTTATATTATCAGTTCTTTGGGAAATATACTTCTTTACAGAATTGGTAGGATAACCATTTTGTAGCAAAATAGTTTTAAGGTTTTCGATTTCATCTTCAATACAATCTTCAGTACATATGCGTCTAATTCTAAGACTAAGACAACAAATCAGGTTGCGTTTATATTGTACGGGTATGGAACTATGGAAATGGATATATTATCCATTCTATGTTGCTTTTCTGTAGTTATTTCGCTCTAACATGTCGTCTGGCCTTTGGGTAAGAAGAACATACGGTAAAGAAATGCTTCCTAGATATTCTTCTTCGCAAGTGAATTTAATCACCCGGTGCAGGTTATTGATGACTTGCATCTGATGTTGTCTATCCAAATTATTGTCACAAATGATGAATGTGTAATCTACATAACGGCAATAATATTCAAGCTTGTTTAATACCTCTCTTAGAGGACCATTTTCTAATTTACCTAGGGAAATGTTACCTAGAGGGAACCCATAGCAACCCCATCTGTCTGACAATAAAACTCCTTTTTAAATACAAAATGGACATTCATAGTGCATTTTAGCAACAATTCCTTCAATTCTTTAGGTGTAATCCCAGTATTCATTTTTCTCTCCACAACTTGTTCGCATATATAATCCACTGTTTCAACTAGGGGAGCATTGGTGAATATTGAGGTTACATCCAACGGTAACATGGTTTTGTCCACTGTGTTGATATCTTTAATTTTGTGCTTCATGCATGCGCGTAACACATGTCCTAACCATCTCAACCGGTGTGACTTCACAACCTAGTCGATCGATTTCCCATCCTCCTTTCTTCCCTTAGCGGCATTCGACCGATGCCTAACCTCAATATTGCTCACTAACCTATTATACCACCACCTAACACGGGAGATAGATAGAATGCAGACACCTAGGATCAAACACAGCTAGCTAACGTTTTTGTATCTCCCACTCTCAATGGCCATGTCTCACAGTCAGCCAACCAGCCATAAATCAGGACAGAGCGAACTGCTGAGCAGTACACACGCCCTTTGACTGATAGCCAGCAAGTCAACCAGCCAGATATCACGTCTTCTAATCATCCCACGCCAGAGATAGCGTAAGTTGGCGAGAAGATAACCACGAGTTGAACTGAAAAGATTACTAAAAGATCTAGTCTTCTCGGATGATTTATATTTAGGGAACCACAAACTCGAACATATACTAGCTGACTTCAAATTAACACACAGAAGACAGGTGATGAAGATATCAAGCAAGAAACAACCATAACAACAAGCATGAGCCACCATCATTGGGAGAAACTTAATGGAAGTGACTTCTTTCACGTGTCCAGGCAGCATCGTTTCATATACAGGCGACAGAGATAAATATGTCAAAGCAATGATTTGAAAGAAATGATACCTTTATTACTCCGGAACTATTCTGATATCTGCTGCATTGAGCATACAGAAGGAGATTCAAATTTTCAACACTTATGTCAGGCCAGTGCTTTTTTATATGGTTAATACGTTACTGTCGACTTTTATGAATAGCTATCTTGTCTGGCTCGATACTGAGGAACAGACGGCCCAAAAAGCATTAGCAACAAGGCTCTGTGGAATCGAATTAATCAAGAAATAATACTTCGAAAATGTGCCGAAAAAAATAGAGTGGTACCCGAATGCGAGACGATCAGTTGATCGTGAATCTGAGGATGATATGGGGAGAGAATGTGTTTGGTGAAAATGGGAGAGTATAGGCAGTCGTTTAGCCAGCTCAGAAGGATTGTAGAGAACTGTATGAAATGAAGATATGCTTCTGAAGCCTTATGTTCCCCTCAGAAGCTAAGGGGATAGTAGTGATGATGTCATACCACTTGAAGGCCAATAAATCTACACGAATGGCTTGATTGATTTTAACACTTTGTGTTCACTTCACTGGTAGTCAGAATTCCGAAGATTTGTCTTCGTGAAGTTGTCTCGTAATATGGCATACTTCTTATAACAAAATGTGTACAGTTGTATCCGGTTGTACAAAAAATTTGTGTGATAGACATTCAGTTTCTTGGTTTGTACGTGTGTTTCAGTCTTCCGAATTGTTGACCAAAACAGAGTAATTTCGATACATGAATGAAAATGTCACCAGATACTATTGTTATATTTTAATAATCGTGGTTTCGAACAGTTTGAGGAAATGGTTCAAACTGAAACGCCAACCGTATCTGTAGAACTAAACTTCTTCCTCCGACGCTTCAGCTCAAAAGTGTTAGTTTTCTCGGTAAAATTATTTATTATTTATTTCATTCCTTTACGTCCCTCGTGGAACATACGGCTTCAAGCTTGAGTTCCGAAGTTTCGGTAGCAGTGGTTTTGTTTTTACGGGGTGGTTTTGTTGGCCCAACGCCCAACTTCCCCTCTTTACAGGGCTTACTACCAGTTTAACAGGACCTAGGAGTGCGTCAGCTGAGAATTGAACCCCGGACCACCTTAGGCGTGGTTGGTGAGTGTTCTACCTCTGAACCACCAACGCACTTTCTCAGTAAAACAGACAATTTTATCTTACTTTTCTAAAACTATCATTTTACCTCACTTTCTTCGTAAATTTTCTTCACAGTATATTGTAATAATAAGCTTTGGATGCTACTGATATCATAATGTTCCCCCTAGTTTAGGGGGAGGTGCCAAATATGTTCAGTGTGCCTTCCTTGATAATAATAATTTGCTTTATTCCAAAACAGTACTAATGATACAGTGTGGGATTTTCAGCACTTTCTACAATATTCCATCTAATTTTATCAAATAACATTAGAAACAATTATAAGGACAATATTACAGGATTGATTGTTAATGGCGGTTCTTATGTGGTATTTATAGTGATAGCGAAATCATGCATATGTACAAAAAATTGTAAATATTAATGATAATAATGTCAGTAGCTAAGATTGTCAATCAGTTAATTGAGATAGTACCACCATAGATTACAAATAGGAGAGCCGATTATTTTGCTAACAACATAGTAATTCATAGGTTTCGCGCTTTACACTGTCTCTATCGCATAGAACACGGGCTGGCCACATATGGTATCGTTGACTTCCTGTACTTGGCAATACGAGCATATAATCTACTGAACTGACTTCTACTTCTACAGGATGAGATACAAGTGATACAAGGTGAGGAGAGTTGAGAATAGGAGGTCTGGGTGTTGAGGGTCAGACAATATGGACTTAGACCATTTTTTGTATGAGTTGTTCACATGTCTATCAAATAATGTAGTAACAAGCTGACTGACTAATTTGCACACCCTTTGCCCTACTGATAACCTTTAATAGCCTTGTTCTTGAAATGACATAGTCCTTTATCAGTAGCCGAGGAGAGATTAAGGATGGGGAATAGTAAATTGCAATAGGTAAGACACAAGAGTTCAGAAATTGTAAAAGTAGAGGTTGGGTGATACCTACTTGATTGTATTAATTTCTTAACGTAGTAGTTTAGAAGGAACATTTTCTTGGAGATCGACAAACTATGGGATGACCATTAACGTCATTTGGGCGTGGTGGCGTGCGCCTGTAATCTAGCTACTTGGAGGCCAGGGTGCGGAATTTCGCGGGACCGGGAGTTATGGCATATGGGTGCTCATGTTGATCGGGCGTCCACGCTAAGCACGGCTCCGATATGGATGACCTGTAGGAGGGCGGGTTGTCCAGGTCGACTAAGGAGGGGCGCACCGGCCCAGGGGGGAAACCCAGCAGGCAAAAGTCCCCGCGTGGTGCGGTAGCGGGATAGCGCCTGTGAATGGTGGCCATGTGACAGCCCGGTCCGCGCGTGGAGACCGCCTCCTCTTTGTGTGCGTCGGTGGCACAGTGGTTAGGACTCTCGCCGACCATGCACATGGTCCGGAGTTCGATCCCCTGCCGAGGCACACCCGATATCTATGGTCGGCCTGCAAAATTTGGGCTACCGATATCCATGCTGAAAATTCCATACTTGTACTGAAAATACGGTGTGGCATCAAGCTGTAATCAAAATTAAATTTAAAAAAATTAAATTAAAAATTAGACTTAGTTTCTATTACAGTTTCCTTTAATTAAACATCTGCTTTCGACTCTGTACACATAGGCTTCTTTTGTGTTAAGAAAGCTTTTTGTGACAGAGTGCTTTCTTCCATTCTTACTTTTCTGATAGGAAGCAGTAAACTGTTCACAATAGGAAGGCTTCCACTGCTTTGCTTACTCTAGCTGATGTCCCCTAAGGTGCTGCTCTTTCTCCTTTCCATTCTTCTTTCTTCTTACATGACTTACCTCATTATGAAGAACCCAATTATAAGTTAAGTATTCCAATAGTCTGTCTCCATAACGGTTACTTCTCAATCAGATGTTTCCAAAATGAATAGCTTTTTATCCGAAGTCAGTCAGTCGTTCTTGTCAAATGGTCTTCAGTAAAATCCCTCCACAAATGTCACGTTGTTAGTTTCACTTTCGAACTCAATCGCGACTTACCTGAACTGGTTCGTCCCCATGATTCTAGTATCATAAATGGCTCTGAAGTTGAAACTAAAGTCGAGTATCAAATACCTTCGATCGTGTATTTTCTCTAATCTTTCCTGGCCTTCCAACATTGTGTTAATTTCTGAAAATATATTTTATGTAACCTTCTATGTAAGGAAGTTAAGACAATGTGGTACCATCTAGTCTCTAATTTTAAAGTTTGTTAATTCTTGTATTCTACCTATTGTTCTCTATTGTTCCCCCACACCTTATGAGCTGCTTAAGAAAGATTGTCACACTGCGAATTGCACTGAAAGCTGTCAGTAAGGCGAGTGAGGTGTTGCTGAGTTAACTTGTCAATACTGTTGTAGATAGATACTTGAACTCATACACGAAATTATCTAACATTATCTTGTCAGACCCTGAGAATCCTCTCTATATACATCCTTCTCCTTGCATTTCATCAGGAGGGTCTAGAAGTAAATAAGTAAGACTTTATGCTTGGATGACTAAGTAATATAATCTCCACGATACACCTTATTTGGCAGGTGCACATTTTTATGTGACAAGAAAAGTATGAAAGGCATGACACAACTAACTTTGTTGAAAAACACTGAGTAAATAGCTCTTTTTGTTTCTTCATTCATTAATTATATAAGTATTAATATTTCCAATTAAATTTTAATTTTTATATATTTTTATTTAACAATATTATCAATATAAATGCTCTGTCTAATTATTACTTCTGCATTACATCTTGAGAACATTAGATGTAATATTGTCCCTTGTGGATAAAATTTGTTTTGATAAAGTCTCACAGTGTTATACAGTAATGTTTACTGGTGACCTTTCGAGCACATTTTATTGCTCATAATCATTTGTTATAGTGTTGTATTACATGCTGAAAATAAAGCCATTATTATTACTATTATTGGAAACACTTATTTCCCGATACAAATTTAAAACAAGGAACGAGAGTTAGTAAAACAGGATTTAATGAATTCACCAAATTTCGGTAGAACTCTTCCTCAGCTGAATACTACTCTACATACAGGGATATATATATTTAAATGTATATATATATGCCATTGGAAATGTATTGGGTGATATACTGTAACGACAGAAGACAATGACCAGGCAACAGATCGTTCATTGAGAAAGTCAAGAGATATTTATAGATTTTTGTGTACATTATTATTCGTTATTTTAACAGAGAAACAACATCTTCTGATTGGTTCTTGTTGAAGGTTATTCTGTACTGTTTGTGACTGTTGCCTACAAAGTTATCTATACATCTGTGAATCGTATTTGCACACACTAAGTCTGCTGTGATTGGTTGTTGAGTTCCTCAAGGTTAGGCTTTGTTCTTGTTTTTTCTCATGACCCCGATTCGGGACGTAAACAAAGACGTAAATTGTTGTTTACAATTTTGACTTGCAGACAGCTTTCACCACAATACGACTGATAAGCAGATAAACTACATTGAATTAATCATGCGAAACGACACATGTGTGAATGTTTTTCAGGTCATGTTCAAATAGATAAGGAGAAGGAAGTGTTAGAGATTAAAATTAAGATAAAATGCAATGCGATTCAATTACATCATTTAGATAAACATTTAGTCATTAGAGAAAGGACTTAAATATGCAAAATGAGTAATGTTTATAGTAATAGTTTTAATAATAATTAAGTGTTGAAACGAGTTAAGATAGTGTTAACGGTAGAAGATAGTTTTAAATGAATCAGGCTTAATAATAATAATAATAATAACAATAATAATAATGATCGTGTTAATAATAATAACAACAGTTCATAAGTCAAACACATTACCACGATAGATTCAGAGTAACGACCATTTCGTCCTATTTGGGACTCGTCATCAGGATGTACCTGCATTTCTCAGTGAGTGATGATGTTCCCACCGAGGCTCGAACCCAGTGCCTATAGTTTCAAACGCCAAAGCGTTATGCACTAGACCACTTGGGTCACATCTCAGAATGACGACCATTTCCTTTTGTATACAAAGAAAGACCTGGTTTATATGCTCTAATTGGCCAAGCCTCCTTTGGAATTGCAAACATCTTCGTGTTTGCTTGTTTGCTGACAATAACAGTGAATGAATTGAAAACGTCCATATCATGTCTGTAGTCCACAAAGTGCTTTGTTATTGAGCTTTTTGGCACTTTGAATTCAGCTGTTTTCAACCACTTTGGCAAATACTCCGTCATGCATAGTAGACAATGGCCTTTCTGTAAGACCTATGCATTTGCTTCCACTCAAGTTGATGTATACAATTCGAAGTTTCGAGGATTGGATTATTATTATAATACTTGTTTTATATGCTTATTATCTTTCACTAACAGGTCCAATGGTCACCACATAATGAAACAATACTTGCCAGTTCAGGTACTGACCGACGTCTTCATGTTTGGGATTTAAGCAAAATTGGTATCGATCAGACTCCTGAAGATGCGGATGATGGTCCACCTGAATTATTATTCATACATGCTGGGCATACAGCAAAGATTTCCGACTTTTCATGGAATATTAATGATCCATGGACCATTTGTTCTGTTTCTGAGGATAATATTTTACAAATTTGGCAAATGGTAAGTTAAGGTTACTAAGATTTTACTTCATGAGTATTTTAGGAGTGAATGTGTCACAGTTAACTGATAAAACTACTTTTAGGTGTTAGTGTGACTAGTTGAAGGCTTTGTCATCATTTTAACTTGTTCTTATCTTTAAGGTTTTACATTACTGATGTGGATATTCAATCTGCTCGTAATGTTATTTATTACAATTGCTTTGAGTTCCTAATGGAACATACGGTTTCAGAAACACATCTCCACTTTCTTCTATTCGGTGCTGTGCTCTTCAACTGGGTCTACTATTCCCCATTATCTCTCATCTCTTCTTCCTCCAACTCACACAATCTCCTCTATGTCACAAAAGCACCGATAACCCACTTGTCCATCGCTTCCAATTCAGATTCAACTTGAGCGATGGCTTGCATTGCTCGCGATATCTTTCGATGGCCTCCTCAGAGTATGCCCAGTCATTCCATCTCTATTTTCTACATATTTGTTGAGCAGTTGGCTCTCTGTTGGTTCGCAATTAGTTGTGTTCTCTGAGCTGGTTGGTTTAATTGCGGAGCTTTCGTCGTCCTTCTGGACAACATCTTCAGCGCAAGTTTCAGCATAAAATGAACTGATTTAAATTCTCCATGAATGATAGAATTGCGTCTCCTGGTAACCATCTTCGTGACTGGTAGTCGATTTACATCTGTATTGATCATTTTTTATTGACTTGGATTTTGAACTTTCTCGTCACATGATTTACTTTTTATTAGTTGGTAGATTTGGTCTATATTAACATGTTTGTTAATCGCATATTCGCTTGAGTACCAGGCTTCTAGGAATTCTCTGGCACTTTTGGTGTTTCCTCTGTTTAAAATTTCGACATTATCCCAATCAAATTGATGTCCATAATTATCTACATGCATTGATATGAAAGAATATATATCATGTCTTTTCACAGCTAATTTGTGTTCCTGGATTCTGATTCGAAGGGGACGCCCACTTTGACCGATGTAATGTCTGTTACAGTTCATACAATTTATTTTGTAAATGGTATTAATTTTATCTTCTTTTTCTGTTGGATCTTTCGGTTTGCACAATATCGAATGAAGTGATTGGATTGGTTTGTTTGCTATATCTATTTCAAACGGTTTCAATATTCTAGCTGTTATTTCAGAGATATTTTTTATATATGGTAGAATGAATTTTCTTGTAGTCTTTGATGATGGTTTCTTGTTGGTGTTGTGACTCGATTTTAAACACTTTTTGATGAAATTGTGAGGATATCCATTCTTTTTGAAGACAGTTAGTAGGTATTTCTCCTTCATTCTCTTCAACACTGGAGTGCTACAGTGTGTTTGAACTCTTTTAAACAATATCTGCACACAGTTTTTTTTGTGGGTAATTGGGTTATGGCTACTATAGTTGAGTATTTGGTTTGTGTGCGTTGATTTTCTATATACTTGTGTTTCTCAATTTCCTGTGTTAGTTCTCCTGATTAGGGCATTTAAAAATGGGATTTTGTTGTGTAGTTCTTCTTCTCTTGTGAATTTGATGTCTTCAAATATGTTGTTTATTAATTTATGGGTATATTCCAAATCATTTCTTTTTTTAAATTCCAGTAGCTTCAAGCAGTTGTCCCCTGGGCTCTGCGGTCATGCAACACTAACCCTCTTTCTGTTTCAGGTACCCGAAGAATCAATCAACTTCCACGGTGTGGGCAACCCGGAAGTAACAACCACCCACACACTTCCAAAAGCTTACGAAGTCTTCCTGAGCATCATTCTCCTTTATCAACATCACTTTCATCATCTTACTTTCCTACTACAGTCAGTACTATTCTTCAGGCTAGTGAGTCATCTTCACTTCACTCTGTGACCACAACGATGAGAGCCATAGCAACACCCCTGACAGCCTCCTAAAGCCACGTCGCCAACTTCATATAGGAGCATTTAACGTCAATACCCTCAACCAAATCGGACAACAGGCATCACTAGCAAGAACTCTGGCATCTCGAGCCATGGATGTATGTTGTGTTTCGGAGACATGCATACAAGATCCGAGTGTGGTCATTCACTTAACCTCACCTGGCCAACAAGGTGAATCTGCAAAATTCACTTTAAGGGTGTCGGGAGACCCCTCAACTAGTTCGCGAGGACTCGCAGGTGTAGGGATAGCATTGTGTGTTAAGGTAGAAAAATCACTCCTTGACTGAATCCCAGTAGGTAGTCGTATGTGTGCGGTTCATCTGAATGGGTCTGTTAAAAGAAGGAAAGACGGCGCTACCCGTCACTGTCTTTTCATAGTCTCTGCTTACGCCCCAACAGACTGCAGTTCGGATGAACTAAAGGATGACTTCTATCTGAAACTGTTTAATTTACTGCAAAAAGCAAAACGCTCAGATATAGTTGTTTTAGTAGGCGGCTTCAATGCCTAAGTAGGGAAATTGTGCCAAACTGAGGAGTATGTAGATAGTACGTATGGAGTTCCCTGCTGACAAACCGACAACGGTGATCGCCTTCTACAGTTCTGTTCAGATAATCATCTGTTCCTAGTCAGCACTAACTTTAGGCACAAAGAGAGACACTCCGTAACCTGGCGACCTCCATCACCAAATCAACGCTGGACTCAGATAGACCACATAGCCATAGGGTATCGTTGGCGAGGGTCAGTAGAAGACTGTCGATCCTTCTGGAACACGTGTGTAGACTCTAATCACGCTTTGGTCCGTGCACGTTTATGCTCACGATTAAACGGACATAAAAATTTTTTGGCAGGGAAGCAGTTACCTCCCCAACTAGATCGAGACCCTGTGTCCCTACTTAAGGAGGAAATAGCGAAATGTGTATCTGAGGTTAACAGCAGGACTTCCTCTGAAGTAGCCTGACACAACATACAGTTAGCTGTAGACAGCTATAAAAGCTGTTAATAACCTAAAACCAAAAGTTAGTAAGAGACATTGGATCTCTACCGCCTCATCCGAACTGATTGACGCAGAAAGACTGATTCCAGCGAGCTCCGATTATGATGAGGAGCGAAAGCTACTCAAACGCAAACTAACAAGAAGCCTTCGTAATGACCGTGAACAGTGGTGGGCGACAAAAGCGAAAGAGATGGAAAAGGCATTGGTGATTGGTAACACCAGACAACTATTTAGACTTATCACGGAAACAGGTGGCAAAAGGCAAATGATAAGTGGAACAATCTCGGAGAAAAATGGCACCATAATTAGCTCCCAGGATAGACGACTAGGACGTTGGAAAGAACACTATGAGGAACAGTTTAATTGGCCTACAGCCAAGCTCAACTTACCGAGCATCCAATACCTCCCTGAATGGGATATAGACACAGGTCCTCCTTCCTTAACTGAGGTTACTATGGCTGTCACTAATCTGAAACAAGGCAAAGCAGCAGGACCTGATGGAATGACTCCAGAGGTATTTAAGTACGGTGGTGACAGTTTACTGTCTGCGTTAGCTAAGGTAGTAGGCAGCGTCTGAGATTCAGAGGAAGTCCCATTTGTCTGGTATAGGTCATTGACTATCCCGATAGACAAGAAGGGAGACAAGTCTTCCTCTGATAATAACTGGGGGATTGGCTTGACTAATATGGTATCTAAAGTTCTAGGCTCAATAATCATGCGTAGACGAAGTGGTCCATTGGAGAAACAAATACGAAATAATTAGTCAGGCTTTAGAACAGGAAGATGGTGTATTGATCATATCTTCATTCTGCGACACATTCTGGAACATAGGCATACTCACCACCGGAGTCCAACAATCGTCATATTTCTTGACCTGAAAGCGGCATTTCATTCCGTCGACCGAGGGGTACTATGGTGATGTTTGGCTGCCAAGGAAATGTCGAGAAAATACATTGCACTGATCAAGCCACTCCACTCGAAGTCATGCAGTCAGTCAGCCAGGTGAGAGCCTACGGAGAGGTGTTATCTGATAAATGTGGTGACAACTAGTGTTGTCCTTCAGGAATGCACACTATCCCCATTTCTGTTTAAATTTGTCGTAGATGTTTGTGCTAATGGACTTAACCCCAACCGACTTCAGCAACTCAGGGATCGACTTGTTGCCACCATGGAATAATAGTCTCGTTGACTTAGAATACGCAGATGATGATATAGTCATTCTAGGTGAAGATGCTGACAAAATAGAGCAGAGTCTTCTGAAAACCTTGAGCTGCAATTTACAAATGTTTGGCATGCGATTCGCTCCCACCCAATGTAAGATGATGCTGTAGAACTGGACTACATTGACTCCTAGCTTAGAAATAGGGAGTGAATTGGTACAGCGCATTGACTTCTTCACTTATTTGGGAAGTTCCATCAGCCAGTGCCAACGGCTTGATCGCTGACGAAATCTCAGAACATATACAGAAGGCTAGTTTCGCATACACCAGTTGAGGTCGTCTCCGGCGTAGATGTGATATCAGACTGGCTATCAACCAAAGGGCGTGTATCCTGCTCAGCAGTCCGCCCCGTCTTCTAATTTGGCTGGCTGTGATACATGGCTTTTAAGAGTGGAAGACATGAAAAGATTAGCTGTCTTTGATCATGGGTGCCTGCGTTCTATCTCCCGTGTTAAGTGGTGTAATAAGGTGAGCAATATTGAGGTTAGGCATCGAGTGCTAGATAAGGAGGGGAAATCAATCGACGAGGCTGTGAAGTTACATCGATTGAGATGGTTGGGACATGTGTTACGCATGCATCCTTAGCCATCGCCTTCCTCGATGGGCATTGTTAGCTGACATAGGGTCAGGTTGGAAAAGAGCCAGTCGTGGTCAAGCCAAAACATTGCTTCATCAGTCAATGAAATCCACAACAGTTAGTTTAGGCCAGCCACGTAGGAAGATATAGACTTCCTGGTTGGGGTCCTCGGGACGGTGAACACCAATGGCTGGAGATAATTGGTGATATGGCTCAAAATCGTTCTCAATGCATAGCGCAGATGCATCCACTTCTTTGGCTTATAATTTCCAATAAAACTATATTGTTCTTCGATATTACCATTCTTTTTGCCTCATATCTCTGTTTACTGTCTCCATTTTGCGTTTCTTTTTACTTTCTTCTCTTGCTTTGTGTACTGAGTGTAGTGTGGCGACTCGAACGGCTGCAAAGTTCTATTTTGAAACTAGACCAGAATTCCAGTAGCAAGGTTGATTGGAAAATTCTGATTTTCTATGCATCGTTCATTTTGTTTTTCCTTATCTACGTTATCTTAATGCGTAGATATCAAATGATATGTTTCCAAATCAAGTAAACACTGTATAAGTTATCTAAAAAAGACAATGCTAAGCTTTTCAGTTAGACCAGACCAAACACGTTTAAAGAATAACTGATAATATCTAAAAACTATCTTTGTTTACGCTATAAGTCTAATTTTTATTACTGTCTATTTGGTAGTTATTCATGGTTAAAACTTATCATTTGTAGATGTTCACACGTATTTTAAAAATCTAAAACGTAGAATATGGCCTAGCCACCATCAAAACTGATGTCGTAAGATAACTTCGGTGTCCAAACCTACGCTGCTGGAACGGACAATTACTTACTGCACTGACTACTCCTAGCTTAATGAAAGTTAGCCAGGAGTGAAGTGGTGGCTTGCTGGCTGAGCGTATTGACCACTTCACTTATTTTTGGAAGATATCCAGGTTATACCATACGTCAGACTCCCGAGTGTGGGAACCAATGAGCTTGGCATCCGAGTATAACTTGAAAGCTGTAATGTGAGAAAAGAAAAGGGAAGGTTGTAGGCACCCGTGTAGTTGGTAGAAAATTATCGCAGATGTGCAATTGATGCTGTGTGTTGCATTCGGAACCTAGAGGAAAGACCTGAAGGTAAGTAGCTGACTTTGAGTGTAACCAGGTAGCATATGCTACGAGTTTCCTTACATCAATCTATTGGGGACGACGCTTGTGATCACTACCACTGGGTGGGTACATGCTAAACATGATCAGAATTCAAAGAAGTCCTTTAGACGGAGCGATAGTCACGTCATCAATAGCTGATTGCAATGTGCTATATTTGAGTTTAGGCTTAGGTGGCAGAGGGGGGGAGGACACTTAGTGGTAGCACTGCGGTGGTGGCTATGTCGAAATTTGGCTCTGACTAGAAGTAGTTTGTAATCCGCTAAAAACTATTGAGGAAAGTTGCCATTTATGACTCGGAACCTCGTAGTTCAGCAATGACCACGTGGACTAGTCTCCTCTAATCCATTAACACATGACCAGTGCATTCAAGTCACCAGCGAATACTACGATATCGGTTTGACGCGTCTCTTTTAGAAACTCACTCAGCTGACAGTGGGACTTATCCTTAATACATGTGTTGAACTTGGGCACTGCGGTAGTCTGTAATTCCATATTAATTTGTTTATTAGATATATCACATATAGTGAAAAAGTATTATTTAGTGGAAGACAAAGTTTCGAACACAATTTATTGTTGTTCATAATCAGGACATCAATTATAACCACAGAACTTCGAAACTTTCGTTTCGGTAATCTTCTTTATTCATTCCAGATATCTGGAAAATTCTACTACGCTTACGACTACGAATAGGAATGAATAAAGAAAATTACCAAAACGAAAGTTTCGAAGTTCTGTGGTTATAATTGATGTTCTGATTATGAACAACAATAAATTGTGTTCGAAACTTTGTCATCCACTAAATAATACTTTTTCACTGTGTGTGATATATCTAATAAACAAATTAATATGGAACTCATGCTTAATTGCATCCGCGTTACATTTCGTTGGTGCATAGGCGCAGAGATGTTGGAAAGCACTCACACTGCTGTGTATTCTTCTAGCCTGTCAAAAGCATAAGCATCTATTAACGGGGAATCCAGTGTAGTACTGCAACTTCGGCTAATAACGCTCAATGCGACACTCCTGTGGTTTCTGTTGTCCAAAATAGATTTGTACTCCATGTTGAGTTGTAAAAGTTAAAACTATAAAAACATATACACTTTTGTACACTTATTCTTTTTCTATTCACAATTATATTTCACATCCGGAAGAAGTACTTATATACACGTTTTTAATAGGAAATATTAAAAAGATGGTTGCAGCGAAGAAAATATTTTTCCGGTGAATTTATCAACTAGGCCTTATATATATATATATATATGTATATATATATATATATATATATATATATAGTAAGTGGATGAGAAAGTTCCACAACTATTTCTGGTCAAGGGTCAAATTGTACTTTGCTATTCCCCATCCTTAGTCTTTCCTCGGCTACTGATAAAGGACTATGTCATTTCAAGAACAAGGGTATTAAAAGTTATCAGTAGGGCAAAGGGTGTGCAAATTAGTCAGTCAGTTTGTAACTACATTATTTGATAGACATGTGAACAACTCATACAAAAAATGGTCTAAGTCCATATTGTCTGACCCTCAACACCCAGACCCCGTATTCTCAACTCTCCTCATCTTGAATCTCATCCGGTAGAAGTAGAAGTCAGTTCAGTAGATTAAATGCTCGTACTGCCAAGTATAGGAAGTCAACGATACCATATGTGGCCAGCCCGTGTTCTATGCGATAGAGACAGTGTAAAGCGCGAAACCTATGAATTACTATGTTGTTAGCAAAATAATCGGCTCTCCTATTTGTAATCTATGATGACACTATCTCAATTAACTGACTGACAATCTTAGCTACTGACATTATTATCATTAATATTTACAAATTTTTTGTATATATGCATGATTTTGCTATCACAACATATACCACATAAGAACTGCCATTAACAGTCAATCCTGTAATATTGTCCTTATAATTGTTTCTAATGTTATTCCGTAAAATTAGATGGAATATTGTAGCAAATGCTGAAAATCCCACACTGTATCATTAGTACTGTTTTGGAATAAAACAAATTATTATTATCAAAATTGAAAAGTAGGGATTAAATGTGATATTAGAGAGGAAGATTGGATTAAGAACACAGTGGAACCATAATTACTGAGAAAGTAAACTTGTACAATTACGAATTATTAGTGTAGCAAAATAACAAAATAACGAGATCTTTGGATAAGAAACATAGTAGTAGTGTAAATGAGGAGGTATTTCATTTGAACACATACCGTGGTTATGAACATTTTTGGGATCACTAGGGCCTTAGCTATGAACAGATACCTTGATCTCCCTCTCTTTGAGAGGTTTGATCGGATCTTGATTAAAGGAGTGTGAAGGACTTTTCGAATGGAGCTGGCTGTTTTGACTTCACCTGATGTTCTGTTACCGAACTGTATACACCCTTGCATTCTCCCTTTGTTAGCCAGGTTAGGTAGTGTTCCCGAGTTCGTTTTACAAGCGTAAGGATGGTGCGGTCTATGCAATCAGCTCCTCATGAGCAAGTTGAAGTGGCCAACTGTGACAGCTGGTTGAATGGTTTCTTGCAAGAAAATATCACTCGTAGGTTGGTTGGCAAAGTATGTTTTACTGAGAGATTTCTAAAATAGTTTATGGCGAATTTCGGCTTCAGCAACTTGGACCTGTTAAGAAGTTTTCATTGGTTTTAGGTTCTTGTCTGTAATTCTAGGTGGAAAACCATTTTCCATCAACATTCCTCGGAGATTTTGTAGTTCTTTCTCAATAGTTTCCTCGGTAGATAGTTTCCCGATCCTTGAGGAAAGCGAATATATGAGGTTTTCCATTTCTGCTTTGAAGAACACAACTGTGGAAGTTGATAAACTGTCGATCGCGTGTGAACTGTTTGTATATGCATCTCCTCACAGGGTTATCAGCATTTTTTCACAGTTGAAAATTGAGGAAATGGAATATCGCGTCAGATTGAGCGCTAGAATGAAGTCGATGTTTAGGTGGATATTATTGAAGGTTTGAAGTATCATCAGTGTATCTCTTGTGGAGATAAAGCTCGTACACAGTTAATGATGAATTTTTTTCTAGGCTAGCCATAAAAGTCAGCCAAGAGGAGAACCCATTGCTACTCCATCTATTTGTCTGTCGATTTCATTGTTGAATCGAAAGTAGACATTGGAAAATGCATCGGAGTGACAGCTCGTTTAGATAATGGAACAGTGTGCCAACATCGATGGTATTGGATTGTATGAAATCACAAAGAAAACATAGTTTCTGTCAGTGGAGGACATATGTGAAGAGAGAGACGACATTTAGTGGGACCATTTTTTCTCTATCAAACTGACATTCTTAATGGAATCACCGAAATCCAATGTGTCGCGAAGGGTTGTGTCTTGACAGCTTACCTTCCACCAGCTGAAGAATTTCTAGCAGCCATTTTGCGATTGAGTGATATGGAGAATCTATCGTATCTTGTATCGGGCAGAGTGGGACGTCTTGTTCGTGCATTTTAAGGTAGGCCGTACATTCGTGGCGTTGTAGAACCACATGCGCGAAGTTTTTCTTATAGTTTCCTACTAATAATAGATTCATCTTTCATTTTCTTCAATATTTTTGTCAGCTAAAGCTCCATCTATTCAGTGAAATCTGTTTGAAGCGACTGTTTTTGAAATTCCTTGTCACCGTATAGTATCAGTGAGAGTTTATTTAGATAATCTGATTTGTTTATCAGGACAGTTCCCGAACAATTCTTCATTTTCCTACAATTCTTTCAGCTGCTTTCGATATTGTTTGAAAAACAGATTACGTAAGCTAGGTTTCTTCTTGGAGTAATCAAGGCAACAATAATTTAAAGTGATTGATTTGAAATTAGTCTGCATTGTCACATGACTAAGTAGGTTGTCGACTGTCCGTCAATTTTCACTTTGCATCACAAAACTTGCAAACATCTGACATTTCCGTTTGTTGGTTTTTTCTTTCAGGCTGAAAATATATATAATGATGACGACATAGAATTGGGCAATATGGATCTTGAACAACATCGCTAACTCATCATTATATGTGTGTTCACCTCTTTTCTTCTGATTCATTGTTTGTTTTATATTTTTTTATGTGTTAGACTGTAAGAAGAGAGAGGTTTTTAAAAAAAGAGCTGCATTTCCACTTTCTGCGCATTTAGCCTTCTGCGTCATTCACAAGCCTACCTTTTTGTGTGTTCTTAAGGCAAGATGCCTGTAACTGTATACATGTGTAAATCTTTTTGAAAAAATAAATCTAAGCAAGTTACAAGTCATATTATGTATGACATATGATTCCTTCGTGTTATGTTACAGCCATCAAACGCAATCTGTTATCATGATATAATGACTAAGTATTCAGAAGGTATATTTGTTTCAATCTTAGGTAAGTTTAGTGTAAGAGCTTCCGTCGTTTTCAGTGCACACAGAGTGAAGAGGGAGTGAAGAGCCATTAAGTAGAGGAGTTGCATTAGTAGAAGGAAGGCAAGATAATAGAGATGAAGATGAAGACAAAGGAGAGTGAGGATTAGAGAGGTTTCGTGTGCACTTCGGATTGTGAGGGCGATTGTTACTTCCCGGCTGCCCACACCGTGGAAGTTGGTTGCGTGACAGCAGAGCTCAGGGGACAACTGCTTGAGGCCGGTCATACACGGCCTGTTTTTGTTTGTTGTTTTTCATTTGGTGTGTCTCAGAAGCGTATTTATCACTTCTGCCCTGTGACACGGCAGCAGAAAGCGCGGTCGTTGTTAATCCGGGCCCCGACCGATCCGGCATGATATTTTGTGATTTATTTGGAGTCATAGGATTGGATTGGGTAACTGCTTTTAGTCTAACCGCTATCCAAACAACCTTTCTGGCATGGTAGGACCTGCAGGAACATAAGTTCCAGCCAGTATAGCTTGTTGGGTCATTGCGGTGTTCAAGCCCGACCACCACGTCAAGGTAGCAGCTTTCGGTCGGGAAGTGTAAGAGCACAATTTCTGGAGTGGTAGAATATAATTTCGTATTGGATAAGTTTATCGCACACTACTCTCAGTAACACTATTGATAACTGCAAGACGTTTCGAGCTGATATAGCACAGCGAATGAAGACATCTCTGGGTAAGTCTGAATGTTTTAACCTGGTGCCTAGATTAAATAATTCTTGTAGACTGTGTGGTATTATTAGACAAAGGACTAGACACTTCATACGACTCATTCACTACCATATGATGTCCAAGCAGAGTATTCAATACAGTCCCACTGGAGGTCAATTGCGAGTTCGAATAACTCAATAGTAACGCCTCTGACTGCAGCACTGGTTGACACAAGTTCAAATTTCATGAGGGATCTCAGTTCCTTGAAGATATGCCTTGATGACAGATGAGTGCCGCCAACAAGCGTAAAACCTAGGTGTAGAAAGGGCTTCCTGCCGATTTTCCTGAACCATTCGACAGTAACAATTCAGAGTGCACAGTGATGTGATATCGGGCCACCTAGCGTAGTACCCTCATAAAAAACTTGATTGATAGGACTCAGTCTGCACCGAACCAAGGGCTCGACACATGATGCCAATCATATAATAATAATAATAATTTGTATTTCGTATAAACGTGTAAGTTAACAAAAAGTGCATGCCATTTTTATAGGCATAATCAGTAATGTTATAAATTACACTCGTGAAGAATCATAAATTAATAACTTTTCAAAAGTTTAGATTGTTCGATTATTGTACAAGCAATCAGAACAGGTTCTTATACATGTTAAATTGTAAACCCTTCACTGAGGTCGCCATCAAATTTGAGCGACGACCCAAACTTCGTTCGGTTTCCTGCTGGTAGTCACGGTCAACTAGTGAACCGCGTATATATTTGGGTAAGTGCTATGCCCCCACGTGATTAATAGCTATTTCAGGAAGAGGAGAACGTCCTAGGAAGCTGCAAAATGGTGTAAAAAATTATTGATAAAACATCATTGGAGGTACATTTACAATATATTTACGAACAGGGGCTTGAGAGTCCTTGGAATGATAGCATACATTTGCGATGTTTAATGCTAACCATATTGGTCTAAGCATGGAAACTATGATGTTTTGGACGAAGATATAGCTTTGTTCAAACATTGGTGTTGCTGTTTTGTTTTTTCATCAGAGCAACCAGATTTTAGGCAGGCAACAAATGTGAACAAAGAGTAAGTTTTTACTTTATTAAAGGCCTAGGTGATTAAGATTAAATAGAGTATAATAGTGCGTAAATAAAAAGATTATCTTGAGGTAGATAAGTGGTATTTCAGTGAGGAGTGAATTCAACGATCCGAAAGGTTAGAATGTGTAGCACAAGCTGACACCTGTAAGATGTCTCACGAATTTCTGTAGGGCCCATGTGGTAGCATCTTGACAAGAAGCTGTGCAGGCTTGTAGATGGTAGGAGCAAAAGCACTTTTTAATAATTTTGACTATCTGGACTCATGTTTGATTATCGAGGTGTCAGATCGGAGCGATTCACATTTGTGACCACTACCATATCTACTTATCAGTATGCGCCACCCTCCCTCCTTTTTCGATGCTAGGCTCTAAGATCTTTTGCATTAAATGTATTTGTTGCATTGCTTTGGGTCCGTCCTAATCAAACAGTATGCTGCACATTAAAAGCTTTCATGACAAATGCTTCCCATTAAGTCACCAGATACATCGGTACCTGAGGACATTCTTAGCAGTATTGCCTTTATACATGCATACATGTGTATGTAATCCTTCAAAGTAATATACAAAATTCAATCAAACCTATCAAAGGGAATCAAATCAAGACATCTGGGCATAGCTGAGGCGCTAGCTATCCAAAAGCTCAAACCCACACTTTGTATCCAAAAGAATTACGTCCAACCCCTCTCCCTACCATGGTCATCATAAACAGGTAAAATTTTTTTAGTAATGACAATCTCATCACCTTTCTTATCTAAACTTCCTGTTTATTCATGTTATTTTAAGTTTTCTTAAACCCTGTTTACACTACCATATTTTCATACCCACTCTTCCTGTTTATTTTGTCATTTTACTATTTCTACATATTTAATCCCTGGTTGCATAAACAATTATTCATCATATTAGTTTTTTATCCAAACATCCTGTATATTTTGTTATTTCTACATTTCTAACCCCCAATTGCACAATGTCAATCTTCTTAGTTATTATAATGCTACTTTGTTCGAGTTTTACCCATCCCCCCTGTTTGTTATGTCATTTTAATTCCTAATTGTAATTTTTTATTAATTTGACCCCTAACCAGAAATTATTCTGGAACTTTCCTATCCATTTGATATAAATACACGAATGTACAGCCTAGATGATGACTTCGTCGAAAAGAAAATTTTCTTCGCTGCAATTGTCTTTTTATTAACTCCTATGAGTAGTTACTACAAACGACTAGTAAATTAAGTTTCCCTTAAAAATTTTAAAGCATAGAAGTAGTATTACACCAACTAAGTTATAGTCTATTTATCAGAGTGAAATGAGTATTGAAACAATTAGTGATAGAATTTCCAATCAAATTATTGGGATCCATTATTCAGGATAACCAGTTATGCCGATAATTCACTCCAGGAACACCCTGACGTATAAGATATCTACCCTATTAGCTTCAGTATTTTGTCCCGGTGGAGATCATTCAAACTTTAACTAATTTGTATGAAATTAAACGAAAGTTGTAGGGAATTCAAACAGAATAGAATGGGAAAAAATGGCCAGTTTCGACGTGACTAGGTAATACACCAATATTCCGACTAATGCAGCTCTGAGAGCAGTAAGGAATAAACTAGACAATCATGCATCCCGAAGTCAAAAATAGAACTGGGGTCCCCGTTGAAGAAATTGTATCATGTATTCAGTCATGTCCAGCCTGCACTGTATTTAAAATAAAATATGCGCACTAAAAGGGGATGAATATGGGATCACGAATATCCTCTTAGGCAGAAGCAGACAGACATATTTGTTGATAGTTGGGAACGTAAAGATCTTAGAATAGTTAATCCTACTCCTTGGTTATGTAAAGTGTAGATATCACACATTCCATGTGTTGAAATTTGAACATATCCCTAAACTCAGTAGTAGATGGAATCCAGTCGAATTTTGAGTTTAAAAGAAATGAACACCGTTAGTTAGCTATGCTAGAGTTTAAAGTCGGACGAAAACCGAGTGATAGATTAAATACTGGAATCTGTAGGAAATTATTCTGACTGACAACTTTGATTCTTCCCATCCATATATCAGCTAACGCCAGTGTGATCAAATGTTCCTGCAGCCAAGTTAGTAGCGTAACTACTAAGTCAGGAGATTTGAATTCAAAGACCAAACAAAAAGGCAGAATTACTGATTATTCATAACTAATCACCACAATTCACTCAGCAATGTATTTTGGTGCGTGGGAATTACTACAGTTATCCACGCAGCATACATCATCTAACTAACCATAGCTGCCCAGTCGGTTAATGTCCCTGGGCAATGTGGCCAAAACGTGGGCTAAATGGGTAATTTTGATTGGCAAACAGGTGGTGTAAATGCAGCAGATATTACCCACATTGGCCACTTTCCCCGTTAGCCCATGTCCGGTAAAATATTTTTGTCCCACTTTGCCCACGTTTTCACCCACTTACCCCATGTGCAGAAATTCTAAAAATACCCACTTTCAACGAACAATTTACCCACTTTTTCCACGAACATTTTACCTACTACTGCTATTTTCGTGACGAAAAAAGGCTCTCATTTTCCCATTTAACCCACGTATTATTAGAATTAATTAGCGTATTAGTCCTACTAGTTGTCTAAGGAACTGCTTACACATTGTCGTTCTTTACAAAGAACGACTATATATAGTTACTACTTCGATCGAATTTATCACAGTTACGAGCTCGGCGACTACTGCCTTAAGAATCTTTCACCTCATTCAATGCTTATGCCACTGATAAAAAACAAGGCCAACGGAGTTAGGGAATTTTATACAGTGAAATGTCGGTTTAAAAAAAACAGTAACCGGATGAGAGATTCCAAAAAATGAGCTCCTAAATTATTCTGAGGACATTGATTGGCGGGACCCAGGTTGAATGATGTTGACACACATCTGTAATAACGCTTTTGTGTGCAGACTACAGTAGAACATTTCTCATGGGACGACGGAGCGTCTGCGGCATCACCTTATCAATCATCCCATGAAGAGGTAAGAAACCCACTTGGTAAAGTGATTTGCATGTCAGTATGCACGTTCCCAGCTAGCATTATTTTCGGGCGCATTGCAGAACGTAGGAC